AAAAAAAAAAAAAAAAAGGGAAAAGGGAAAAAATAACCTGTTTCTGAAGCTGAAGTTTTGTTTGTTTATCTTCCCCTTGTTGCATCAGTAAGTCTTCGAATTTCATAGTCGAAATACAATTGAGAATCAAAATAATGTGCACACTTGGGGTTATGAGTTATGACTGAATTATAGAAAGAAAAAAAAAAAAAAAAGAAAGACACACAATGAGTAAAGTTATTCTTGATACATATTGAAGTAAGCAAAATGAGGTGGATGATATGAAGACTTTAAGTAGATATGAGCAATGACATAATAATTAAAAGAGAGGTGATAGACAACGTGAATCCCATGAATCCTTTCAACACATCCATCCAACTGTTCTTTGCGGCAATACTAATAACAGCCTGCTCTCGAATTATATATACATTTCTAAAAATGTAATTTGAGACATCATTTGCGTTGTCCTTTAGAGGTAAATTATGTTTCCCGATATATTGACGCAGAATGTCTTAATTCTACGTGTCGACTTGGTGCTTCATAGTCCTATATGTCGAATTTTGGTGTTTCAGCAAATTTGGCGGCTGACCATTTAGCGAGCATGGCGGCCTCCTCCTCAATTGGCCTGCATCTGTTGTCCTCGCCCCATTAGGAATGAATAGTTGGCTTGAACACGATATTATTGGGGTGTCGTATCCTCATCGTGTCCTAGCTCAGTGAGCGTTCCAGGCCTCTACCCTCCTTCATTGTACCAAGAAAAAAAAAAGAGTACTCCATGTAGATCTAGACTTCTTTACATGCTAATTAGGATTTTTTAAAATTATAAAACACTGACTAACTTAAATTACCCATATTATATTTAAAAGTAATACTTTTGTACTTATTGTCAGTTTTCAATATTAATATATCAAATTAATCTTCTAATAAGTTTCGATTTGACATCCATATTGTATATAAAAAAATAAATAATTGTATTTATCTTTAAAAGAACATTAAGTTATCTACTATCATTAATTAAATAACAATAGTATTCTTTATCAATAAAACATTTTTTCTATAAATTTATATTTATTATATTATATGAGTTGTCAATTATTAAAATATAAGACGAGCAAGTCGTGCAAGTGACGCTTATTGTGTTAAATAAAAATAACAATCTTTTCTTTTAGAATATTTTAAATTATAAACAAAGACTCTTTATAAATTTAAGTTTGAATTTGTTTGACAAACAACCAAGTAATACACGGTTTTATAAATTTAAGTTTAAATTTGTTTGAGATTTATATTAATTCAACCTATATAATTCAAGTTAAGCTCATGTCGCTTAAGCTAGTGGTCGTCTAACTTGTTACTCGCACATCTACATGCACACATATTAGTCGTCTAACTTGTTACTCGCACATCTACATGCACACATATTAGGCTATGTTTCGTAGACAAATAAACTAACATATAGCTTATTTTATTAGCTTATAAGCTCCATGAATTCAAATAAGTCTCGAGGTAGCTTTTCAAATAAGCTAGTTGAATTTTTTATTTCAGCTAGCTTATCAGCTAATTTTACCAAACACTTTTATCATATAAACTAGCTTTTCAGCTATAAGTCATAAGTTATACAGCTAAAAAAATTAATGATAAACTATAAGCTAACAGCTAGTTTTACCAAACATAGCCTACATAATCATCTCAAATCCAGACTCATTGGGTAAGGGTGAAGGTATTGTATTTCATTAGTACAACACTCTGCATTATTTAGTTATTACATGAGTCATGGGTGTTAAATATAAACAAAAAAAAAAAAAAAAAAAAAAA